CCAGCTATCGCCCTTCTCGGTCTATTCCCTGAGGACCTTAAAAGAGCATACTATAGGGATACTGCCACATCAATGATCATAGCAGCACAATTCACAATAGCTAGACTCTGGAATCAACCTAGATGCCCTTCAATAGATGAATGGATAAAAAAAAAAAAGTGGCATTTATACACAATGGAGTATTACGCAGCACTAAAAAACGACAAAATCATGGAATTTGCAGGGAAATGGATGGCATTAGAGCAGATTATGCTAAGTGAAGCTAGCCAATCCTTAAAAAACAAATGCCAAATGTCTTCTTTGAAATAAAGGGAGAAACTAAGAACAGAACAGGGAGGAAGAGCATGTGGAAAAGATTAATGTTAAACAGAGATGAGTGGGGGGAGAAAAAGGGAGAGAGAAGGGAAACTGTATGGAAATGGAAGGAGACCCTTATTGTTACACAAAATTACATATAAGAGTTTGTGAGGGGAAAGGGGAAAAAAAGACAAGGGAGAGAATTGAATAACAGCAGATGGGGTAGAGAGGGAAGATGAGAGGAAAGGGGAGGGGGAATAGTAGGGGATAGGAAAGGTAGCAGAATACAACAGTCACTAATATGGCATTATGTAAAAATGTGGATGTGTAACCGATGTGATTCTGCAACTTGTATTTGGGGTAAAAATGGGAGTTCATAACCTACTTGAATCAAATGTATGAAAGATGATATGTCATGAGCTTTGTAATGTTTTGAACAACCAATAAAAAAAAATAACCTTTGTGGTTTTATGAAATAAGAGTTAAGTTTTAGGGGCTGGGGTTGTAGTTCAGTGGTAGAGCGCTTGCCTCACATGCATGAGACCCTAGGTTCAATCCCTAGCACCACAAAAAAAAATAAACAAATAAAAATAAAGGTATTGTGTCCATCTACAACTAAAAGAATATTTTTTAAAAAGAATAAGTTTTAATGACACTTAAAATGAAAAAATAAAAGTTGTGGAAAAGGGGCTGGGGATGTGGCTCAAGCGGTAGGACATTCGCCTGGCATGCGTGCGGCCCAAGTTTGATCCTCAGCACCACACACAAAACAAAGATGTTGTGTCCGCCAAAAACTAAAAAATATTTTTTTAAAAAAATTCTCTCTCTCTCTTTCTTTAAAAAAAAAAAAAAAAAAACGTTGTGGAAAAATCTACTTGTCTAGAGTTGGGGTTGTGACCCAGAGGTAGAGTGTTTGCCTAGTATGTGTGAGGCACTGGGTTCGATCCTTAGCACCACATAAATATAAAATAAAGATATTGTTTCCACCTATATTATATATGTATGTGTGTGTGTATGTGTGTATATATGTATGTGTGTGTATATATATATATATATATATATATATATATATATATGAAATCTACTTGTCCAAGGTGGTTTTCAACAACATGCCTCTTATTAAACATAACATTATGGCCAAAAAAATGACTGTGAATTAGGGAGAAATGAATATTGAACTGCATTTAACATATATTATTTTATACTTGAGGTAAAATTGCATATGTATATGGTCTTCTTTAAGAATTAAAATAACCCACATAATTCACTTCTCTAGTGGAATCTATGAAGCTATGGTAAAAATTCTTATAATTCTTTCATTTCAACATGGAGGAAAAAAGTGATTCTTATTTTTATGAATAGTCTTTACTTTTTAACACTTTCCATTTAAAAGTATGTTCAAACTTCCCTTTACTGTATGTCTAATACAAATCTTATGTGAAAAAAAACCAAAATCATCACCAGAAAATATCTACAAAGACTAGAATGTCATCCTTGTCCTTCCTAAAGAAACTCAGATTCTAAAAGATACCAAGAAGTTGATCCAATCCACAAATCATTTCATATTTTTAAGACTACACAATTTTAGTCCACTCTCTCAAATATTAATAGAGAAAAAACTACATACGATAATCTAGAGAATTAAAGTCAAAAGTCAGCAACTTTGAAACAGATTAAGCACTGAAAGGTGTTTTAAAAAATGATATTGCTTTTTCTCTCACTTTCACAAACACAAACATGCACATACACACATTTATTTATTTTGTGATGCTGGTGATCAAACCTGCAGCCTTGCACATACAAGGCTAGTGTGTTAACTAAGCTACATGTTCGGTCCATGAAAAACCAATCTGTATCACTTTCTGTTGATTTACTGAGAATATATGTGGACCTCTGTCCACATATGAATTATCCCTCTGGATGAGATATCTTTCTTCCTCTACTTGTGCCCTGCTTTTAGCTATCATCACATTCTTGGTGGGGTGGGGAGTACTGGGAATTGAACTGAGGGGCACTCAACCACTAAGGCACATCCCCAGCCCTTTTTTGTATTTTATTTAGAGACAAGGACTCACTGAGTTGCTTAGCGCCTCACCATTGCTGAGTCTGGCTTGAACTCGCAATTCTCCTGCCTCAGCCTCAGCCTCCTGAGCTGCTAGGTCAACATATTCTTTAAATAAACTCAATCATGAACTCTGGAGGGAGGAGGGAAGATGGGAATGTGGAGCCATTCTCCTTAGAGGCACCAGGAGGATGGGAGCCATCAGGGCAAAAAGGATGGCTGGATGAGGCTACTGCTCCTCCTGAGCAGGTCTGTTCAGCAAGGTTCCAAGGCTGAGAACAGAACACACCCAGGAAGTAAGTAAAAATACACTCTAAAGTAAAAGAGAATAAACTCCCCCAACCCAGCCTATGTTTAGCACACACATATGCTGAAACTGAGAAGGGCCTAAGCCACAATGCTATAAAAGTTGCTTTCAAAGTCAAATTGTTTTTCTATAAAAATGTCTCTTTTGGATTTTTCCTTCCTTCCATATTCACAACTCTGTGCTCAGAGGCTGTAGGCCTTTTCCATCTAATTCTCAGCTCCTCTCTAACCTCCACATTTATATCAGATGATTCTTCTTGCAAACAGACAGAATATACACATACACGGTCAAGATGGAAAAATCTACAAATGTAAAGCAGGTGACAAAGAGAAAAGGAGACCCTAACATGCAGCATGTGGCCTGAGATAATTAGGTGGACCCTGCTGGTGCTCTAGGCTGGCTGGGCCCTCACAGGAAAGCTGTGGCATTCCTTACAGGGAAGCTGCTGCTAAACAGAAATATTCTCTTAGAACGTGGACTTCAGACAAGGACACTATGTGACCCTGATGGATCAAGACAAAAAGCCTACTCTGTAAAGTCCGAGCACGGATAGAGCATGAACACTGTCCAAGAGAGAAATGATCAAATAATCCCCCACCCTAGCCAACAGAAAGAACTGCTGTTTCTTTACCAATCACAGGTCTTTCTCCCTTCTAGGTAATTTAAGAGGATACCAACCCACAGAATGACAGCTGCTTTCTAACAACAATTGAGAGCAAGGCTCCATAATAAACCTTTCCCAAATCTAACATAAACCCCAAACATTTAGTCCTTTCTTATACCCTCTTACTTAAATGCCCCCTTCCCCTGTTATCTTGGAGTGCATTCTCCCTAACAACAGGCCTCACCTGTTCAACTATATTCCTGGGGCTCATTGGCTAGACTACACTAACATAGCCAAAAAAAACTCTATAATCCCACCTCCACAGCAAGCACAATTAATATTTCAGTGTATTTTCTTCTTTTTTTGAGAGCGGGAATTTTAATATATTTTTTTTAGTTTTCGGCAGACACAACATCTTTGTTTGTATGTGGTGCTGAGGATGGAACCCGGGCCACACGCATGCCAGGCAAGCGCGCTACCGCTTGAGCCACATCCCCAGCCCTTCTTTTTTCTTTATACTTCTATGACAGAATTGGAATTGCTAGGGTACTTACTTTCCTTTTTTTCCCCTCCTCAGGAGTGGATTAATATGTCTGTTGTTTCATAAACATTCATATGATCTTTCATCTGAAGGCAAGCTCCTTACTGCTAAAGACTGGGTCTTATGTTTCTTGGTCTGCTCAATAGTACACACAGAATCAAGGATAGAATTAATTTTTGGTGAGTACTTGTTGACTAAGTAAAAGAGTGCTGGGGGCTGAGGCTGTAGCTCAGTGGAAGAGCACATGTGAGGCACTCAGTTCGATTCCCAGCACGAGTTCAATTCTCAGCACCACATAAAAATAAATAAAATAAAGGCATGCTGTCCATCTACAACTAAAAACACAAATTTAAAAAAAGAGTGCTAATTTTAGGTAAATATTGAATTACATTATTTCCATTATCATTTTATTCTTGAAGCAGATATGTAGAAACATTCGAACCTTAGTATGAGGGTTCATAATTTTTGGAATGGTGATGAAATTCTAGAAAAAGAAAGTGTAAAGTTGCTCCAAGTTGTGGGTATCATTATGGGAATGAACCAGTATCTGAAATGATGAGGTGATCATTCTTTTGGATCCAAATTTGTAAGGCTCCAAACAAATTTGTAAGCCTCTCATCTAGAAATGGACAGCACTCTATTCATTTCCTTTGATATCCACATGCAAGTGTGTCATTTTCATTTGTTACCATGACTACAGGAAATTCATATGGAGAAACTAGGAGTGTGTATATAGATTTACTTATATATACATGTATCTAAATACATACTAACCAAAATGAACAAAATCTCATTACTGAAGTTCTTAATGATGGAGCCAAGGAAATGGAAGGAAAATGCCATTAAATTTGCTTGGTAGAGATAACAAGTATATACGAATAAAGCAAGCTTTGTTAGCCTTGAGATATTGGCATTTTGTGTCAGATAAATCTTTGGGTAGTGTGTTTGGTTTTCCTGTTTGCTATAGGATATTTGACAGCAGCAACACTCCCTTTCCTGAAGATAAACATCTCATAGACAATTAAAAAATGTGGAGTGGGGTGGCGGTAAAACTGTCCTGACAAACAGTGAGCTAAGCAATGCGTTTTCACAGCTTTCAGCAGTAATATGACGATGACAGACAAAGCTATAACTCAACCAGAGGACTCTTCTGAACTCCCAGCCATGAATCCAACTTCCTGTTAGACATCACCACTTGGGTAATGCTCATGCAGAAAATTTACCTGCCTTCATGTTCTCCCTCAACTCTACAGTAATCCAATGTCCCATTAATTAAAAACTTTAAACAATTTCCATCTGAGTCCCTTTTGCTATTCTCTGATATTGCCTTAGTTCTGGTATGCTGAATTTCAGTTTTTGGTTGAACTATCTTGTCTTCCACCCCGTCCTTCATTAGTGGGAGCTTTTTAACCCACAAAGCCCGATCAGCCTTTTTTTCTCATCTGTTCCTCCCTCCTTTTGGAGATAGTTATGAATATTAGCCAATGCAGTTTTAAGTTATGATGGCCTGTGAAAGTTGGATCATGGTCTTCCTTTGTCATCATCCAAAGAATCTATTTTAAAAAGTTAAAAGTTTAAAAATCTACTCAAAGCAACCAAATAAAGAAAGGAGAAAACCTGCATCTTGCAAATGGTGAAAGTGGAGGGGAATGGAAAGAGAAACTTTTGGGGTAGCTCATAATCAAGCCTACATTGCCAGGAAGGAGCACTGAGGAAAGGTAAGGTGACAAAATCTTATGATGTCCACTGATACTCAAATATTAAGAGAAGTAGCCTGTGGAGAGGATATCCTTAGAGAATGTTAAAGAAAGTCCTCAGACACACTAATCAAGGGATTTCAGCAGAATCAGGAGGAATTACAAAGTTACACCATTTCTCATGGTGCTCTGTATTCCTGGAACATGGCACCAGGTGAGTGAGATCAACGGAGAGGCCTCAAACATCTTTACAGACACATTCAGAATTAAAAAAAAAAAAACAAAACAAAAAACACACTGCAATATTTACAAAGACAATAGGGAAAACTGTGACCAATAAAAAATTATTTCCAGCTAAC